TATATCCCCCCCCCCCCCCTCAGTCCCGCTTACTCCCATCCAGGGCCAACCATTGTTATATCTCCCCCTCAGTCCCACTCACCCCAAAATTTGTACATCTCCCTACTACGGCTCTCCTCACCTCCTGCTGACCCAAACACCAGGCCTGGAAGACATGTGCCCTCGTGTACATCCCGCTTCCCATCTTACTTTCCTCACCCTTCTTCTCCTCAAACTCTGGTCCTTCACCACCTCACTCACCCACTAGGCACCCTCCTACCCCCACGAACCACTGCAAACCCCCTCAACCTCATACCTGTCCCCCTCCTCCCCGCATCCACCCCCCCTCTCTCGTTGCACTCCTGAACGCCCGATCGGTTTGCAACAAGCTCACCCCGCCATCCATGACCTCTATATCTCCCGCTCCCTCAACCTCCTAGCGGTCACTGAAACCTGGATCCAAGCCACCGACTCTGCCTCCCCTGCTGCCCTCTCCTATGGAGGCCTTGTCTGGTCCCATTCACCCAGACCGAGCTCGTAGAGGTGGTGGGGTCGGCATGCTCCTGTCACCGCAGAGCACCTTCCAGGTCCTCCTAAACCCCCCCCTCCCTATCCTTCTCCTCCTTCGAGGCCCACTGCATCCGACTCTTCTCCCCCACCCCCCTGAGGATTGCAGTGATCTATCGGCCCCCTGGACCCGTATCCCGCTTCCTGGATGACTTTCCCGCCTGGCTGCCCTTCTTCCTCTCCTCTGAGCTCCCCACCATCATCCTTGGAGACTTCAATATCCCCATCAATGTCAACAACCCGGCTACATCCCAACTCCTCCCCCTAACCTCCTCTTCTGCCCTCACACAGCACACAGTCCTCCACCCACACCGACCGGAACACCCTGGACCTCGTTTTTTCTCTGCACCCCACAACCTCACAAACACCCCTTTCCCTCTCTCTGACCACAACCTGATCATCTTCTCCATCTCCCCGTCCTCTAACGCCTCCCCCCCAAACGTCCAACCACCACCAGCCGTGACAGTATCCTTCCTCTGTCATGCCCTGACCTGGCCACTACCGCGTACAACGACTCGCTGTCAGCTGCCCTAGACTCCCTGGCACCCCTAACCACACGTAGCATTAGACCCCGACCACTCCAACCATGGCAGACTGACCACACTAAACATCTTAAATGACGCAGTCGTGCGCTGGAGCGATTATGGCGCAAAACCAGATCCCTCGCGCGTTCTCCCTCTACAAATCCACCTTCCTCACCTACTCCTCCTCCCTCTATGCCGCCAAGCAAGCCGACTTCGTAACCCTCATCAACACCCTCTCCTCCTGCCCCCGCCGACTCTTCTCCACTTTCAACTCCCTACTCTCCCCCCCCCACCCCCCACCCAGCACCTCACTCACTGCCCATGAGATTGCCAATCACTTCCAAAATAAGATCAACGCAATCCATAAGGACATCGCCGATGCTCAACCCACCTCCCCACCTAGCCCCCCCCCCCACTATAACCCCATCAACTCTCCCCTCCTCTGACCTCGCAACCGCCCTGCCCCCCACCACACCTAACGTCCCGCACACTATAACTTCCCCAACACTCCACTCCTTCAGCCTCCCTACCACTGAGGAGGTCACTAAGGTCTTCACAGAAGCCCACCTCACCACCTGCCCCCTGGATCCTGTCCCCACACAATTCCTCCGGTCACCCTCCTCCTCCATCCTACGCTCCCTCACCCACATCTTCAATCTCTCCCTCTCTACTGGTGCATTCCCCTCCCCCCTAAAGCACGCACACATCACCCCCATACTCAAAAAACCCTCCCTGGACCCCACCGACCTGAACAACCTCAGACCCATCTCCCTGCTGCCATTTACTTCCAAGCTCCTTGAGCGCTTAGTCTACAATCGCCTGAGCTCTCACCTCACCTCCTCGATCCCCTACAGTCCGGCTTCTGCCCCTACACTCCCCCGAAACCGCCCTCCTCAAAATCACCAACGACCTACTAACCGCCAAAGCTAACGGCCACTATTCAGTCCTCCTACTCCTCAACCTCTCCGCGGCCTGCAACACAGTTGACCACCCCCTTCTCCTTAATAAACTACACTCCCTCGGCATCAGAGACTCCGCCCTCTCCTGGCTCTCCTCCTATCTATCCCAACGCCCCTTCAGTGTTACCTATAACGCTACCACCTCCCCCTCTCTGTTTGGGTCCCTCAAGGCTCTGTCCTTGGGCCCCTTCTCTTCTCCATCTACACCTCCTCCCTTGGCCAACTCAAACACTCCCACGGCTTCAACTACCACCTCTATGCCGACGACACACAAATCTATCTCTCAACCCCCCACCTCACCCCTTCAGTCTCTGCCCCCCACCTCACCCCCTCAGTCTCCGCCCGAATCACACACCTACTGAGCGACATATCAGACTGGATGTCGCTCCACTTCCTCAAATTGAACCTTTCCAAAACTGAGCTTCTAGTCTTCCCCCCAGCCCCCCCCCCCAACCTCTCCATCACGACCAACAACGCCACCATCAGTCCCACCCCGCAAGCCAGAGTTCTAGGTGTCACTCTAGACTCAGACCTGTCCTTCCAACCCCATGTCCAATCGCTGGCTAACTCATGCAGGCTCCACCTCCGCAACATCTCCAAAATACGTTCGTTCCTAACCCCAGACACTGCTAAACCACTTGTTCACTCCCTTATTATCTCACGTCTGGACTACTGCAACTCCCTCCTCACCGGCCTCCCTCATCACAGACTATCCCCCCTTCAGTCTGTCCTGAACTCAGCGGCCAGACTCATCCACCTCACCAACCGCTCCACTTCTGCCACCCCCCTCTGTCATTCCCTCCACTGGCCTCCACTCAGTGTCCCTCCACCCCCTTCTGTCATTCCCTCCACTGGACTCCACTCAGTGTGTCCTCCACCCCCCTCTGTCATTCCCTCCACTGGACTCCATTCAGTGTCCTCCACCCCCCTCTGTCATTCCCTCCACTGGCCTCCATTCAGTGTCCTCCACCCCCCTCTGTCATTCCCTCCACTGGCTCCTGATTGCCCAACGCATTAAATTCAAACTACTAACACTGACATACAAAGCCATTCATAACTCCGCCCCAAACTACCTCACCGACCTGATACCCAAATACCACCCAATCCGTAATCTTCGCTCCTCACAGGACCTCCTACTTTCTAGCTCCCTGGTCTCCACCTCCCACGCCTGACTGCAGGACTTCTCCAGGACTTCCCCCATCCTCTGGAACTCACTACCCCAATCCATCAGACTGTCACCTACCCTCCTCACCTTTAGGCGCTCCCTGAAAACCCATCTCTTCAGGGAAGCCTACCCCCCCCTCACCTAACAGCTGATCTCCTCCACTCCTCCTACCACTCCATCCCCCACAGCCACTTCCTCCTGTGCCTCTACCCCCCTCCCTCCTAGATTGTAAGCTCCCAGGATCAGGGCCCTCGATCCCCTCATGTATTGTATTGTTACTGTATTGTCTCATGTTCTGTCCCCCCTATAATGTACAGCGCTGAGCGAACCTTCTGCCGCCATATAAATCCTGTATAATAATAATAATATCTCCTCCTGAGTCCCGCTCACCCCCATCCATGTATCACCCTTGTCACCCCTCCCCCCAGTCCCACTCACCCCCATCCTTGGTCCACCCTTGTCACCCCTCCCCCCCAGTCCCACTCACCCCCATCCTTGGTCCACCCTTGTTATATATCCCCCTCAGTCCCGCTCACCTCCATCCATGTATCACCCTTGTCACCCCTCCCCCCAGTCCCACTCACCCTCTTCCTTGGTCCACCCTTGTTATATCTCCCCCTCAGTCCCGCTCACCCCCATCCATGTATCACCCTTGTCACCCCTCCCCCCAGTCCCGCTCACCCCCATCCATGTATCACCCTTGTCACCCCTCCCCCCAGTCCCACTCACCCCCATCCTTGTTCCACCCTTGTTATATATCCCCCTCAGTCCCGCTCACCCCCATCCATGTATCACCCTTGTCACCCCTCCCCCCAGTCCCACTCACCCCCATCCTTGGTCCACCCTTGTTATATATCCCCCTCAGTCCCGCTCACCTCCATCCATGTATCACCCTTGTCACCCCTCCCCCCAGTCCCACTCACCCCCATCCTTGTTCCACCCTTGTTATATCTCCCCCTCAGTCCCGCTCACCCCCATCCATGTATCACCCTTGTCACCCCTCCCCCCAGTCCCACTCACCCCCATCCTTGGTCCACCCTTGTTATATCTTCTCCTCAGTCCCGCTCACTCACCCCCATCCATGTATCACCCTTGTCACCCCTCCCCCCAGTCCCACTCACCCCCATCCTTGGTCCACCCTTGTTTATATATCCCCCTCAGTCCCGCTCACCTCCATCCATGTATCACCCTTGTCACCCCTCCCCCCAGTCCCACTCACCCCCATCCTTGGTCCACCCTTGTTATATCTTCTCCTCAGTCCCGCTCACCCCCATCCATGGTCCACCATTGTTGCACCTCCTCCATGAGTCTGAGCTGGGTACCTCCACACTGGATGGGGGGTGGAGAAGTCATACAATGATGCCTAACATCTTCTGTTTGGTGTTATCAGGAATCCAAACTGAACACAACTACAAACCTTCACGTAACCATAAACACTGGATGAGCCCCTATAAATATGGACATCTAATCCCCCCTGTGGGGGTGGCTCAGCTCGGGGATCGGAGGATGGGCTTAGCTCGGGGATCGGAGGATGGGCTTAGCTCCCCATGAATTGGTGGTTTTGTTCTCTTATATTGTGAACATTTTTCACATTTCTCTTTCCTGCATTCCTATCCAAAGTCTGGGATTTCTAACTCATAGTTTACTCTGAAGGACAAAATCCAGAGCTGGTCTCCTGGGTGGAGAATTAACAGTAATCTGCAGATTATCCTGGCTGGGGGGGGGGGGAGCAGGGAGGGCAGGGGAGAGAGGGAGGGGGGGGGGCATTACATATATAAGAGCCAAAAGACTTTGTCCAGCAAAAACATGATGAAGGTGATTGTACTGAGCGCACTGCTGGCCATCGTCCTGATTCAGGGTGAGGAACACCAATGGTGGGGTGATGGACCATAGATGAGGGGTGGACAGATGAGGGGTGATGGACCATAGATGAGGGGTGGACAGATGAGGGGTGATGGACCATAGACGGTAATAGGGCGAACAGACAAGGGGGATGGACTATAGATGAGGGGTGGACAGATGAGGGGTGATGGACCATAGATGAGGGGTGGACAGATGAGGGGTGATGGACCATAGACGGTAATAGGGCGGACAGACAAGGGGGATGGACCATAGATGTGGGGTGGACAAATGAGGAGGAGGATGGACAAGACTGAAATAAGGGGGAACAGATGAGTGGGGGGATGGACCATAGACAGAAATAGGGGGACAGAGGGGGAGGGTAATGGACAATAGAGGGTAATAGGGGGAGCAGACGAGGGGGGGGGGGTGGACAATAGGGGGTAATAGGGAGGACAGCTTTAGGGGGTGGTGTAATGGACAATAGAGGGTAATGGGGAGCAGATGAGGGGGTGGAATGGACAATAGAGGGTAATAGGGAGAGCAGACAAGGGGGGGTGGACAATAGAGGGTAATGGGGGGGCAGACCGGTGGTGATGGACAATAGAGGGTAATGGGGGGGCAGACCGGTGGTGATGGGCAGATGGGGGGGGGAATGGATAATAGACGGAAAGTAATATGGAGGACAGATGAAGGGGGGGGGATGGACAATAGATGGTAAATAGGGGCTGTAGCAAAAATTACCCCCCCTTAACACTTTCACTGTTAAGTGAATGGGGCCGCTGAAAGGGCGGTCAGGATCTGGTTGACAAACACACCTGTAGAGTCTGTGTGAGTTGTTTGTTAGGTCCGTGTTGGGTCTGTGTCGTGTTTGTTGGGTCCGTGTCATGTTTGTTGGGTCTGTGTTGGGTCTGTGTTGTGTTTGTTGGGTCCGTGTCGTGTTTGTTAGGTCCGTGTTGGGTCGTGTCGTGGGTTTGTTGGGTCCGTGTCGTGTTTGTTAGGTCCGTGTTGGATCTGTGTTTTGTTTGTTGGGTCCGTGTCGTGTTTGTTGGGTCTGTGTACTGTTTGTTAGGTCCGTGTTGGGTCTGTGTCGTGTTCGTTGAGTCTGTGTTGTGTTGGTTGGGTCCGTGTCGTGTTCGTTGGGTCCGTGTCGTGTTCGTTGGGTCGTTGTTGGGTCTTGTGTCATGTTCGTTGGGTCCGTGTCGTGTTCGTTGGGGTCTGTGTCGTGTTCGTTGGGTCTGTGTCATGTTCGTTGGGTCCGTGTTGGGTCTGTGTCATGTTCATTGGGTCCGTGTCATGTTCGTTGGGTCCGTGTCATGTTCGTTGGGTCCGTGTTGGGTCTGTGTCATGTTCGTTGGGTCTGTGTCGTGTTCATTGGGCCACTGACATTGTTTTTCACTAATTTTTTGCATTTGGCTACACCACTGGTGGGAATGTCTCAGACCGAAACAATCAGAAACAGACTTCTGAGGGCCCGACGTCCTCTAGTGGGCCCTGTGCTCACTGCCCGGCATCCTCCACCATAGAGCTGGATTGGCATTTGCCATTGAACACCAGAATTGGCAGGTCCGCACCACTGGCTGTCCCTGTGCTTTTCACAGATGAGAGCAGGTTCCCCCTGAGCACATGTGGACAGACGTGAAAAGGGTCTGGAGAAGCCGTGAGAGAACGTTCTGCTGCTTGTAACATGTCAGCAGTGATGGACCGATGTGGTGGTGGGTCAGTGATGGTCTGGGAGGCATCTCCATGGAGGGACACACAGACCTCTACAGGCTAGGGACAATGGGCCCCCTGACTGCCATTAGGTATTGGGATGAAATCCTTGAACCCATTGTCAAGCTCTACGCTGGTGCAGGTGGTCCTGGGTCTGGGTTCCTCCTGGTGCAGTGTGTCCTGGGTTCCTCCTGGTGCAGTGGGTCCTGGGGGGGTTCCTCCTGGTGCAGTGGGTCCTGGGTTCCTCCTGGTGCGGTGGGTCCTGGGTTTTTCCTCCTGGTGCAGACAATGCCCGGCCTCATCTGGGGGGGTATGCAGGCAGTTCCTGGAGGATGAAGGAATTAATACCATTGAATGGCCCCCACACTCACCTGACCTAAATCCAATAGAACCCCTCTGGGATGTCATGTTTCGGGTCCATCTTGACGCCGCCAGGGTGCACCTCAGACAGTCCAGGAGCTCAGTGACACCCTGGTCCAGATCTGGGAGGAAATCCCCCAGGACACCATCCGTGTGGTCTCATTAGGACCCTCCCCCGAGCCGCCTCATTGTCAGGCATGCATACAAGTACGTGGGGGCCACACAGACTACTGAGGACCATTCTGAGTTGCTGCAATGACATTTCACCAACATGGACTCTCCTGCTGCATCATTTCTTCACTTTGATTTTCGGGGGGTGTCTGTGAATTCAGTCTCCTCTGTAGGGCGATCATTTCCATCCAATGATGGGGCGTCCTTACGTTCCTCACCCATCCCCCCGTCCTGTGTCAGTATAGAGATCCAGCAGGAGATTCCTCCCCATTGGGGTCTGATGGGTTTTCCAAGTCTTCCTCTCATTGGTTGAGCCGTGTTATAATACAGGGCGGAGCTGCATGTAAAGACTCTTCTATGATAATCATGGGGGCGGAGCTGTGGACCTCAGTATATCCGGGACATTCTGGTGTTCCTGGCTGGGAGCGGCAGCCATGTGTCAACCCAACACGGCGCTCATTGTATGTTGGCCCCACACCCACCAATTACTGTCAGGGCGTATCTCCCCCCCCCCCCCCCCCCCCAGCACAGGTTCTCATCCTTTATTATTTCTGGGTAAAGTGCGGGGGATGGGACCTTCATGCAGTCTACACACACCCCACCCCCATACACATGTACTGAGGGGGGGGGCAGTAATGTGCAGCCACTGTATGTGTAACACCCCCCCCATAACAGCCCCCATATAACACCCCCCCCACCCTATATATAATTGGATTCACCTCCCCCCATATAACTGGGGATCACCACCTGGCTGTCATGCCCCCCCCCATATATACTGATCACTGGCTGTCATGCTATCCCCCCCCCCCCATATATACTGGAGTCACCTGGCTGTCATGCTACCCCCCCCCATATATACTGCATCACCTGGCTGTCATGCTACCAAACCCCCCCCCATATATACTGATCACCTGGCTGTCATTGCTACCCCCCCCATATTACTGATCACCTGGCTGGCTTGTCATGCTACCCCCCCCACCCATATATACTGACACCTGGCTGTCATGCTACCCCCCCCCCCACCATATATGACTGATCACCTGGCTGTCATGCTACCCCCCCCCCCATATATACTGATCACCTGGCTGTCATGCTACCCCCACCCCCCCCCCCATATAAACTGATCACCTGGCTGTCATGCTACCCCCCCCCATATATACTGATCACCTGGCTGTCCAATTGCGGCTACCCCCCCCCCATATATATACTGCGATCAGCTGGATATCAATTCCTATATATACTGTCACCTGGCTGTACCCCCCCCACTGATCACACTGGCTTCATACACATGCTGGCCCACCGGTCCCATCCCCATATATATACAGCTCAACCTGGCCTGTCATGCCCCCCTTATTATACTGTTCACCTGGCTGTCATGCAGGCTGGCTGTCATGCTTTACCCCCCCCCCCAATAATATATACTGATCACTGGCTGGCCACCCATGCTTATAATTTTATTGAGTTGCCTGGCTGTCATGCTGCTCCTTTAGCCCCTTGTGAACCCTCCCCCCCGACCAGGGAGTCCTGACCTCCATGCATTGCAAGGTGTCCTGAGGCTGCACTTCCTTTACCAGCCCAGTGCCCCAGAATGCACTTCAGCCAGACACAGCCAGGCAAACAGCATTTTTCAGAAGGAGGTCAGTCCTACGTTCTCCATTTAGGCCTCCCCGAGCCTTGTGATGAGGAACAGACTGAAGATCCCTACTAAAATCACTGTTCTCTTTTCTCTTAGCGGTGGAGCCGGCGACCAAAATCAAGTGAGTAAAATGTGGACCATTTGTATTCCATGCCTGGCCTCCACTGAGGTCCACACCTCTCCTATGGCCTCCCCCCTCCATTCCAGCCTTCTTCCCCTGCCCCCAGCCTCCACTGAGGTCCACACCTCTCCTATGGCCTCCCCCCTCCATTCCAGCCTTCTTCCCCTCCCCCCAGCCTCCACTGAGGTCCACACCTCTCCTATGGCCTCCCCCTCCACCCCAGCCTTCTTCCCCATCCCCCCTAGCCTCCACTACCTTCCCCACCTTTCTCTCCTCCATTCCAGCTTTCTTCCCATCCCCCCTCCACTACCTTCCCCACCCTTCTCTCCTCCATCCCATTGCATTGTGGAGCCTCCAGGTGATTGCCTGTCCTCTTCCTCCATCCTCAGGATTGAGATGCTATTCCTGTTCCTTGGCACACTCGTGTAAAGTACGCAAAGAAGTAGAATGTGGCAGCGACCAGGACACCTGCCAGAGGTCACACATCCCCATAACGGCTCCGAGCGGCAATGGGAGAACAGAGACAACGACTTCGCCAGCACCAGCGAGGGGATTATGGGTAAAGTTTCTGGATTCACTGCACAACAATCTAATCATCCCGAGACCATGGGTTTCCCAACCATCACGAGCAACACCGGCCTCCATGTCCCAACCATCACGAGCAATCACCACAAACCTCCATGTCCCAACCATCACGAAGCAACACCGACCTCCATATCCCAACCATCACGAGCAACACCGACCTCCATACCCCCAACCATCACGAGCAACACCGACCTCCATATCGCACCTCACCACTAACTCTGAGCCTCCATAAACCCAATCTGGTCACCAACACTAACCTCCATATCTGACCTCACCATCAATACCAAGCTCCGATCCCCCAACCCTGCAACCAATTTCTGAGCTCCATAACCCTAACCCCACCTACCAACAGTAAACCTCTATATCCCAACCTCACCCCCAATCACTGACCAACATAATCCAACTCCCACCACCAAAACAGAGCTCCATATCCCAACCCTCAGCCCACCAATACTGGGCCTCCATATCCCAACCCTCACCACCATACTGGGCCTCCATATCCCCAACCCCCACCACCAATACTGGGCTCCATATCCAACCCCCCACCACCAATACTGGGCTCCGTATCCCACCGCTAGCCCCTCACCACCAACACTGGGCTCCATATCCCAACCTCCACCACCAAACACTGGGCTCCATATCCCAACCTCACCACCAATACTGGGCTCCATATCCCAACCTCCACCACCATACTGGGCTCCATATATCCCAACCACCACATCCCATACCTCCAAACCACCAATACTGGGCTCCATATCTCAACCTCCACCACCAATACTGGGCTCCATTATCCAATCCCCATCCTCATCATATCCCAAACAACACCACAATACTGGGGCTCCATATCCCCACCCCCACCACCAATACTGGGCTCTGTATCCCAACCCTCCCCACCACCAATACTGGGCTCCATATCCCAATCCCCACCACACCAATACTGGGCTCCATATCCCCCACATCACATCTACCAATACTGGGCTCCATACACCAAGTCACCAACCCCAATACTCACACCTGTACCCCAACCCCACCCCACTGCTCCATTGATGTCCAAGTCTCCCCACCATCTCCCACACTAAAAGTATTCCCCATTCTCCATCCTGTGCTCTTCCCCCACACCACCACCCACCAGGACCCCCCACATCCACTTATTTTAACACACCTGTCCACCCCATTTACCCTCCCCCCCCCAGCACACCTCCCACACACACTGTACCCCCATAACCTCCCACACACACACTGTACCCCCATACTCTCCCCCCCACCCACACACTGTACCCCCATACCTCCCTCCCCCCCACACACACTGTACCCCCATACCTCCCTCCCCCCCACACACAACACTGTACCCCCCATCCCTCCCACCCCCCCCACACACACTGTACCCCCATACCCTCCCCCCCCACACACACACACTGTACCCCCATACCTCCCCCCACACACCACTGTACCCCCATACCTCCTTCCCCCCCCCACACACTGTACCCCCATACCTCCCCCCCCCCACACACTGTACCCCCATACCTCCTTCCCCCCCCAACACATACTGTACCCCCATACCTCCTCCCCCCACACACACACACTGTACCCCACCCCCCCCCTCCTCCCCCCCACACACACACACTGTACCCCCCATACCTCCTCCCCCCCCCCACACACACACACTGTACCCCCATACCTCCCCCCCCACACACACTGTACCCCCTGTATACCCTCCCCCCCACACCTCCTACCCCCCATACCCACCACCCACACACACTGTACCCCCCATACCTCCTCCCCCCCCCAACACACACACTGTACCCCCATACCTCCTTCCCCCCACACACACACTGTACCCCCATACCTCCTCCCCCCCACCACACTGTACATCCACTGTACCCCCATACCCACCCTCCCCCCCCCCACACACTGTACCCCCATACCTCCTCCCCCCCCACACACACTGTACCCCCATACCTCCTCCCCCCATTAACACACATGTACCCCCATACCTCCTCCCCCCAGAAACCAATCACACTGTACCCCCTTAGGACGTTCCTTCCCCCACACAGGACACTGGTACCTGTACCCCCCCCCCCCACACACACACTGTACCCCCCATACCTCCTTCCCCCCCACCACACACTGAACCTCCCCCCACACACACTTGTACCCCCCATACCTCCCTTGTACCCCATAAACACACCTTCCATACATACAGACACACATGGGGGCATGTAGTCCTGGAGCGTTTATGTACCACCCACCGATGTGAGAACGCCACAGGAGAAGAACGCACCGCAGGGTGACCGTGAGTGCTGCAAGGGGTCGCTGTGCATAACTGACATCACCACCAGGAGGAGACCCGACATCTCCACAGGAGGAGACCCGACATCTCCTAACCATTAACACAATAAAGCATTCTATATCCAGAAACCAATCATTGTCTTCCATTGAGGACTCCCCCTGGCATCCGGGACAGGAGAAGTGGGACTGTGCAGAGTCCATACATACAGATACCGGGAAAGATACCGAGAATGACACCCGGCATCCGGGACAGGAGAAGTGGGACTGTGCAGAGTCCATACATACAGAATAGGGACAGATACCGAGAATGACACCCGGCATCCGGGACGGGAGAAGTGGGACTGTGCAGAGTCCATACATACAGAACAGGGACAGATACCGAGAATGACACCCCCGGCATCCGGGACAGGAGAAGTGGGACTGTGCAGAGTCCATACATACAGAATGGGGACAGATAGCAAGAATGACACCCCGGCATCCAGGACAGGAGAAGTGGGACTGTGCAGAGTCCATACATACAGATACGGGAATGACACTTCCCCACATCAGGGCTTGAATTATATTTGTATTTTGGGGGGTTTATTATTATATAACTGCAGTACATAGAAAGGAGGGTGAGGGAGCACAGGACACCCCACGGGAGGGTGAGGGAGATAGACACCCCACAGGGGACACCCCACGGGAGGGTGAGGGAGCACAGGACACCCCACGGGAGGGGGAGGGAGGGTGAGGGAGCACAGGACACCCCAAGGGAGGGGTGAGGGAGCACAGGACACGCCAAATCTCACAGATGTGTACAGTTCTAGCCTCTATACCTTCTCAGAAGGGTCTCCCTGTCCTCAGACTGGATGGGATTCAGTATTCCAGGCTTTGGAGGTGTCATGGTGGACATCTGAGAAGGTTCCTGGGTGGACTTTTCCCTTGGGTAGTCACTCACCTCTCCTAAGCTGGGCTCCAGGGGACCCCCTAATTCTAGAGTAGCTTTCATATCCTCTATATGAAGTCCAACATCTTAGAGGAAGACCCCTAAACATACAACCCATTTGTGCAGAAAACCAGAAGAACCCTCTACAAAGGTCAGTCCCAAATACTGATCACCTCAGCAGGTCCAGTGATTGGCTGATACATTCAGAATGGAGGAGGTTGACCATTATGATTACTTGGAGTGTGCATGAGGTCAGGTGGTCGGGAACTCTCAGAAGGGGGACTTGTCTTCAGCCTTACCACCCAATAGAAGAATAAAACCATTAAAGTCACAGACTGCCTCTATTGGGGTCCAAACACCACGTCCCTCACACTGTATATACAGAGCCACCGATTGTCCTCCACCCACCTCCACCTCCACCCGGCTCAGCTGCACAATCATCTCCTATGGTAATGTGCTCCACTTCTGGGTACAACATGTCCATGCTTATCCTGAAGAACATCAGACACACCCAGGGTGGAGGATTCACTGAGAAGGGTGGAGGATTCACTGGGAAGGGTGGAGGATTTATTGAGAAGGGTGGAGCATTCATTGAGAAGGGTGGAGGATTTATTGAGAAGGGTGGAGCATTCACTGAGAAGGGTGGAGGATTTATTGAGAAGGGTGGAGCATTCACTGAGAAGGGTGGAGCATTCACTGAGAAGGGTGGAGGATTTATTGAGAAGGGTGGAGCATTCACTGAGAAGGGTGGAGCATTCACTGAGAAGGGTATATAAGAAACCAGAGTCATGGTCCTGCAGTCACAACATGAAGGCGATCATACTGAGCGTGGTGCTGGCCATCGGCCTGGTTCAGGGTAAAAGATACTGGGGGGCGATGGATGATAGTTCTAGGGGAGCTGGGGGGGGTGATAGACCACAGATGGTAATAGTAGTGTATGAATGGTGGTGTGGACAATAATATTGGGGTACACCTAGGGAGTGTTGGGCAATATATGGTAATAGTGGGGTACACATAGGGGTCTGATGGACAATAGATGGTAATAGTGGGGTACACATGGGGTCTGATGGACAATAGATGGTAATAGTGGGGTACACATGGGGTCTAATAGACAATAGGAGGAGACCGACATCTCCACCAGGAGGAGACCAACATCTCCCAACCATTAACACAATAAAGAATTTCTATATCCAGAAACCAATCATTGTCTTCCATTGAGGACTCCCCCTGGCATCCAGGACAGGAGAAGTGGGACTGTGCAGAGGGTGTGGTTTCCTGTGGAGCAGCTGCAGGCTGTGTGGTGCTGACCTCCTCTGATGTCTGATACAAGCCCAGGGTTGGGCTGCCCTGGGCTGGGACGCCTCCCAGGAGAGTCCCAGGCTTCTCGGCCTGCTCATGGAGGTGAAGCTGTGGTTGGTGGTGAAGCGGGAGGACGGAGTTCAGTGAATGGAAAGCGAATGGCAGAGACTGTGAGTAGATGTGGGAATGTTGGTGATGGAAAGTCCAGTGTGAGAAGTTCTGGTAATACAGAGAAGATGAAGTCAGTCCAGCAGTGTGAGAATGTCTCTCAGCAAAGTGTGAGTTCTGGAAGTGCAGCACATGGCAGTCCGCCATTGCAGCCACAGCATGCCCAGCAGAGAAGGGCCAGTCAGTTCAGTCCAAACAGCAATGTAATGTTGTCACCAAGCAAACTCCAAGCTCTGGAGGAGCAACCCAAGGCAGTCAGCCACAGGCAGTCAGCCCAGCAGAACCAAGTTCAGCAGGCCCAAGCCGTGCAGTCCAAGCTTGGAGGAGCCCATTACAGGCCATGCAGAGCAGAGCTTGGGGGGCCCATCCAATTCAGTCAAAACAGCAATGTAAGGGTGTCACCCAGAGCACTCCAAGCTCTGGAGGAGCAATGCAAGGCAGTCAGCCATCGCAATTACTGAAAGCCCAGCAGAGCGGAGCCCATGCCGTGCAGAGCGGGGCCCATCTAGTTCAGCCTAAACGGCAATGTAATGTTGTCACCCAGCGCACTCCAAGCTCTGGAAGTGCAACTCAAGGCAGTCAGCCATTACAGTCGCAGCAAGACCAGCAGAGCAGAGCTCAGTCAATTCTGTTTAAACAGCAATGTAATGTTGTCACCCTGCACAGTCCAAGTCATGGAGGCCTAACTCCATGCGGTCAGCCATTACAGGCACCACAAGCTCAGCAGAGTGGGGCCCATGCTGTGCAGAGCGGAACCCATGCAGTCCATGCGGCTCAGGAATGTAAGGTTGTCACCCGGCATGCTTCAAGTTCTGGAACTGTAAATCAGGGCAGTCAGTCATTGCAACAAAAGCAAGTCCAGCAGAGTAGAGCCCATGCCATACAGTGCAAAGTCCATGCCGTGCAGAGTGGTGATCACACAGTCCATATGGCTCAGGAAAGTGACACTATCACCCAGCACACTACCAGCTCTGGAGTAGCAACAAAAGGCAGTCAGCCATTGCAAACAAAGCAAGCCCAGAAGAGTGGAGCCCATGCCGCACAGAGCCCAGCACAGGCCGTTCAGAGCGGGGCCCATACAGTTCAGAGCGGAGTAGAGACACCTGTCACTCCCAGTACTCCGCGCAGATCTGCAAGGACTACGTTGGAGCAGAAAACTCTGAAGGAGAACTTACAGCAGTGTGTAGTGGTGGGCAGTGGCCAGGAACGCTCATTACGCCCCAGGTCCCCCGGCAGAAGAAAGATGATGGAGCCAATAAGCCTCCACAGTCTGGCCCGGAGAGTCCTTCTACATCCAGCAGAGACCCTTCACCCAGTACCGCTGATGGGGATCAGAATTTCAAGCGTCCCGCGGATAGGAAGCAGAAAGTGTTAAAGTCACCTGTGCTGCGCCCTGGCTGACAGGATTCCTGCTCTGGAGAAGAGAATGAAGACCTTGAGGAAAGCTAAGGCTTCGACCCAGAAAAGGATTGACTCCATCTACAGACTCAAGGCTGCCGATCCCGGGAATGAAGTCCTACATGACAGCGAGCTTAACGCCCTGGGCATTGAACTGGCCGGTATTTCGAGGGACATTGATGCTGTTCTGGAAGAACTGGGACCAGGGGGGGAGGTGTATCGGGATTGCGATTGGGTTGGGGCACAATTAAGTGTAAAGATGGAGTCTTCTTCAGAGTCAGACTCCGGGGAACTGATCCAAGGCACGCTACCAGCAAATGTGCCTTCTGAAAGACAGACTCCAGTTCTGGAGGATAGCGGTAGCGTCAGCTTCACCCAGCAGACTTTCATAGTGCAGGAAACCCAGAGAAGCGACATGATGGACTCCCAGCACATGGACTATGAGGACGGTGTTGCTCCCCCCCCCGGTTCTCATGGTGGAACCAATGCTGAGGGGACTGGTGTTCGGGATGGGGGTAGTTGATAATTATGCAGATGAAGCTGCTGATGCTAGTGGTGATATGGCCAGTGCTGATATCACTAATATTGATGTAGGGGTTCCTGATGTCATTAACACTGAGGTAGGTATGTCTGGATGGGGTCAGGACCAGTCTGAGGACCCTGTGAATGTGGCGATGGAGGAGTCAGTTCAGGATAACACCCGTGATTTCCCCCCTTTGGTTGAGTCGCCACCTGCATCACAAGGGAATAGTGGTCCATCTGGCCATGTCCCTCCTCGGAATGCCTGAGCCGTGGGGCTCCTTCTTTTTCCAACAATGCCGGTTATACTGGTCAGGCCTTCAAGAGGAGGAACGTGGTCAGGTTGAAGCATAGGGGTTCCAGAGAAGAGCTCCCTGATAGGAGGTTTGTAGTTAGGGAGTTGCTGTGTCAGCAGATGGGGTTTGTGCCTGCAGATATTTTGGCAGTCATCAACCTCCCTGACAGACGGGGGTATGATGTCAGCTTCAAGCTCATGTCTGGCTTGGACAGGTTCTGGGCCGGCTTTAGTGGGTTTCGGGATAAAGAGGGGTGGAAGATTTTCACCTTCATCCCCATCTCCAAACCTGACACAGCAAACGTGAACATCATTTTCTGGAATGAGTCTGTGCCCCCCCAGGGATATAGTCTTGATATTGTAGTCTGTCTGTAGTCTGCCCCCCCAGGATATTGTAGTCTGGCTCAGAAGGCATTGTGAGATGGTCTCTGATCTGACCAAAACTAGGGACAGTGATGGGATCTGGACTGGAGGTTGGAGGGTTCTTGTCAAGCTGAGGCAGAGTAACAATGTCACCCATCACCTTCCAAACTCCTTTTTCATTGGGCGGGAGAGGGGAGTTTGCTTCTATGCAGGTCAGCCCAGGCTATGTTTCAAATGCGGTAGGTCGGGTCATGTGGCGAGTGTCTGCTCTATCATGAAGTGTAATCTGTGTGGGGAGGTCGGCCATGTCAGTTCTACCTGTGAGAACATCAAGTGCAATCTATGTGGTAGGCTTGGCCATTTACACAGAGATTGCCCGGTGGCTTTCCACAATAGGGATGAGGAATCAGTGGATGAGGAATTTCTGGTGGCAGCAGAACACCTGGAGGAGGAAGCCTTAATGAATGGGGTCATATCAACTGAGGGGGAGGTAAACCCAGAAGTCCAAGGGGCCAGCCTCGGGCAGGAGGGCAGTGTTCAGCAGGCTGAGGAGCAGCGGCCATCTGTGGCCATCCCATCCGTTTCAGTTCCTGCCTCTGTGGAGAACATTCCCAGGCAGAAGAGAAGGAATAGGAAGGACAAGGCCACCCGTAAACCTGAAAGTGAATGGACCCGAGTGCAGAAATCCGCTAAGAAGGTGAGAAGGGCGCCAGAAGGTAGTATGGCAGTCAGCAACCGGTATGACGTCCTATCAGAGTCAGATGCCGACTCCTGTGATCTAGAGGCCCAAATGGAGGAAGAAGTAGAAAGGGAATCTGCAGCTAGTTCAGGGGAGGACCCGCCCACTAAGAAGCGCCCGCCCCCGGCTCCGTATTTGTAGAATCCGATATGGAAACTGGTAGTCGGCAGAGTGACTCAGATTCTGATTTATAAAAAGAGTTTAGAGCCGAAAGGAATATAAAATGGGAGGAATTTATTTACAGCATCAAATTCTATGCAGAACTTTCATTAGTTTAATTTGTTGACTTTCTGTCGTGAAGATGTAGGCAGTTGTTACATTGTTGGTTTGTGTGTTTTATGATGATGGTTACAGTTTTGTTACCTTGTAATTTGTTTGTTTATACAAAATAAAAATATCCATACATACAGAATAGGGACATACCGAGAATGACACCCGGCATCCGGGACAGGGAAGTGGGACTGTGCAGAGTCCATACATACAGAATGGGGACAGATACCGAGAATGACACCCGGCATCCGGGACAGGAGAAGTGGGACTGTGCAGAGTCCATACATACAGAATGGGGACAGATACCGAGAATGACACCCGGCATCCGGGACAGGAGAAGTGGGACTGTGCAGAGTCCATACATACAGAATAGGGACAGATACCGAGAATGACACCCGGCATCCGGGACAGGAGAAGTGGGACTGTGCAGAGTCCATACATACAGAATGGGACTGGAGATACCGAGAATGACACCCGGCATCCGGGACAGGAGAAGTGGGACTGTGCAGAGTCCATACATACAGAATGAGAGGACAGATACCGAGAATGACACCCGGCATCCGGGACAGGAGAAGTGGGACTGTGCAGAGTCCATACATACAGAATGAGGGATACGAGATGACACCCGGCTTCCAGGACAGGAGAATGACTGTGCAGAGTCCATACATACGGACAGATACCGAGAATGACACCCGGCATCCGGGAAGAAGTGGGACTGTGCAGAGTCCATACATACAGAATGAGAGGAGATCCGACCGAGAATGACACCCGGCATCCGGGACAGGAGAAGTGGGACTGTGCAGAGTCCATACATACAGAATGAGGACAGATACTGAGAATGACACCCGGCATCCGGGACAGGAGAAGTGGGACTGTGCAGAGTCCATACATACAGAATAGGGACAGATACCGAGAATGACACCGGCATCCGGGACAGGAGAAGTGGGACTGTGCAGAGTCCATACATACAGATACCAGGAATGACACTTCCCCACATCAGGGCTTGAATTATATTTGTATTTTGGGGTTTATTATTATATAACTGCAATACATAGAAAGGAGGGTGAGGGAGCACAGGACACCCCACGGGAGGGTGAGGGGAGGGGGAGGGTGAGGGAGCACAGGACACCCCACGGGAGGGTGAGGGAGCACAGGACACCCCACGGGAGGGTGAGGGAGCACAGGACACCCCACGGGAGGGTGAGGGAGCACAGGACACCCCACGGGAGGGTGAGGGAGCACAGGACACCCCACGGGAGGGTGAGGGAGCACAGGACACCCCACGGGAGGGTGAGGGAGCACAGGACACCCCACGGGAGGGTGAGGGAGCACAGGACACCCCAAGGGAGGGTGAGGGAGCACAGGACACACCAAATCTCACAGATGTGTACAGTTCTAGCCTCTATACCTTCTCAGAAGGGTCTCCCTGTCCTCAGACTGGATGGGATTCAGTATTCCAGGCTTTGGAGGTGTCATGGTGGACATCTGAGAAGGTTCCTGGGTGGACTTTTCCTTGGGTAGTCACTCACCTCTCCTAAGCTGGGCTCCAGGGGACCCCCTAATTCTAGAGTAGCTTTCATATCCTCTATATGAAGTCCAACATCTTAGAGGAAGACCCCTAAACATACAACCCATTTGTGCAGAAGACCAGAAGAACCCTCTACAAAGGTCAGTCCCAAATACTGATCACCTCACCAGGTCCAGTGATTGGCTGATACATTCAGAATGGAGGAGGTTGACCATTATGATTACTTGGAGTGTGCATGAGGTCAGGTGGTCGGGAACTCTCAGAAGGGGGACTTGTCTTCAGCCTTACCACCCAATAGAAGAATAAAACCATTAAAGTCACAGACTGCCTCTATTGGGGTCCAAACACCACGTCCCTCACACTGTATATACAGAGCCACCGATTGTCCTCCACCACACCTCCACCTCCACCCGGCTCAGCTGCACAATCATCTCCTATGGTAATGTGCTCCACTTCTGGGTACAACATGTCCATGCTTATCCTGAAGAACATCAGACACACCCAGGGTGGAGGATTTATTGAGAAGGGTGGAGGATTTTTTGAGAAGGGTGGAGGATTCACTGAGAAGGGTGGAGGCATTGCTCATCAGATATATAAGAAACCAGAGTCATGGTCTGCAGTCACAACATGAAGGCGATCGTACTGAGCGTGGTGCTGGCCATCGGCCTGGTTCAGGGTAAGAGATACTGGGGGGCGATGGGATGATAGTTCTAGGGGAGCTGGGGGGGTGATAGACCACAGATGGTAATAGTAGTGTATGAATGGTGGTGATGGACAATAATATTGGGGTACACATAGGGAGTGTTGGGCAATATATGGTAATAGTGGGGTACACATGGGGTCTGATGGACAATAGATGGTAATAGTGGGGTACACATGGGGTCTGATAGACAATAGATGGTAATAGTGGGGTACACATGGAGGATGATGGACAATAATTGGTAGTAATGGAGTATACATAGGCAGTGTTGGGCAATAGATGGTAATAGTGGGGTACACATGGAGGATGATGGACAATAGATGGTAATAGTGGGGTACACATGGAGGATGATGGACAATAGATGATGGTAATAAGTGGGGTACACATGGGGAGTGTTGGACAATAGATGGTAATAGTGGGGTACACATGGGAGGATGATGGACAATAGATGGTAATAGTGGGGTACACATGGGGTCTGATGGACAATAGATGGTAATAGTGGGGTACACATGGGGTCTGATGGACAATAGATGGTAATAGTGGGGTACACATGGGGTCTGATGGTAATAGGACAATAGACAATGGTAATAGTGGGGTACACATGGGGTCTGATGGACAATAGATGGTAATAGTGGGGTACACATGGAGGATGATGGACAATATGGTAAGTGGGGTACACATGGGAGGATGATGGACAATAGATGGTAATAGTGGGGTACACATAGGGAGTGATGGACAATAGATGGTAATAGTGGGGTACACATGGGGTCTGATGGACAATAGATGGTAATAGTGGGGTACACATGGGGTCTGATGGACAATAGATGGTAATAGTGGGGGTGGACAATAGATGGTAATAGTGGGTACACATGGGGGTCTGATGGACAATAGATGGTAATAGTGGGGTACACATGGGGGGTGGACAATAGATGGTAATAGTGGGGTACACATGGGGTCTGATGGACAATAGATGGTAATAATGGGGTACAAATGGGGGGGGGGGGTGATGGCCAATAGACAGTCCTAGTGAGGGTGCATGCTGGTGCTTGTAATGCACCTCACTATGGGAAATATTTGCAAGTAAGAGCAGCATGGAGTTTGTCATTCTCACCCTTCCAAACACACTCCATGCAGCTCCTTCCCACCCTGATGCCCCAGTGGTTTTCGCTGGCAGATGTTTGGTCCGCCTCTCCCACCCTTTACACAAATAAAAATTCAGGATAGTCTGGTCTCTGAATGTGGGTGTGGACCAATACAAAGCCAACACCCAGAACATTGTGTCCGGCCCCGCCCTGCTCTGAGACCATGTGACACACCCAATGGGGGTCAGGGTGTGGGCCAGCACCAGGCTCTGGTTGGGTAGGTGGAGTCCTCAGGGGACGGCACTGCCCCAGGCTCACCCACAGGCTGGACACTTACTGGGACCAGAGTGGCCTCTACCATCCGCTGATCACCAGACCATGAACTCCATTGGAGGGGAGACCCGGACACACCCACAGGAGGCAGAGCCAGCATAGGATCACTACTCCCCTCCATGTGTGCCCCCATCATTGGGAGGACCGGTGGCCTCCATCCATCCGCAGGGAGACGCCGCCATGTGACCAGCAGCCAATCGCTAGAGAGGCTTCAACATTCCGGGGGCTGTAGATGATGGAGGACTGGAAGGTGGGTGAGAAGATGAGGACCACATGGGGGGGGGGGGGTGAGAAGATGAGGACCACATGGGGGTGGGGGGGTGAGAAGATGAGGACCACATGGGGTGGGGGGGGGAAGATGAGGACCACATGGGGGTGGGGGGCCGAGAAGATGAGGACCACATGGGGGTGGGGGGGCCGAGAAGATGAGGACCACATGGGGGTGGGGGGTGCCGAGAAGATGAGGACCACATGGGGGGGGGGGGGGCCTGATGGAGAAGATGAGGACCACATGGGGGTGGGGGGGGGGGCCGAGAAGATGAGGACCACATGGGGGGGGGGGGGGGCCGAGAAGATGAGGACCACATGGGGGGGGGCCGAGAAGATGAGGACCACATGGGGGGGGGGTGGGGGGGGGTGAGAAGATGAGGACCACATGGGGGTGGGGGGGGGGCCGAGAAGATGAGGACCACATGGGGGTGGGGGGGGGGCCGAGAAGATAGAGGACCACATGGGTGATGGGGGTAATAGATGGGGTACACATGGAGGGGGGACAATGATGGAAGATGAGGACCAACATGGGGGTGGGGGGGGGGCCGAGAAGATGAGGACACATGGGGGGGGGGGGCCGAGAAGATGAGGACCACATGGGGGTGGGGGGGGGATGATGGACCAGATGGGTGAGGACCACATGAGGGGGTGGGGGGGGGTGAGAAGATGAGGACCACATGGGGGTGTGGGGGGATGGTGAGAAGATGGGACCACATGGGGGGGTGAGAAGATGATGGGACCACACATGGGGGGGGGGGGTGGGAATATGAGGACCACATGGGGGGGATGATGGTGAGAAGATGAGGACCATGGGGGGGGGGGTGAGAAGATGAGGACCACATGGGGGGGGGTGAGAAGATGAGGACCACGTGGGGGGGGGTGAGAAGATGAGGACCACATGGGTGGGGGGGGGTGAGAAGATGAGGACCACATGGGTGGGGGGGGTGAGAAGATGAGGACCACATGGGTGGGGGGGGTGAGAAGATGAGGACCACATGGGGGGGGGGGTGTGAGAAGATGAGGACCACATGGGGGGGGGTGGAAGATGAGGACCAAGATGAGGACCACATGGGTGGGGGGGTGAGAAGATGAGGACCACGTGGGGGGTGGGGGTGAGAAGATGAGGACCACGTGGGGGGGGGGTGAGAAGATGAGGACCACATGGGTGGGGGGGTGAGAAGATGAGGACCACGTGGGTGGGGGGGGTGAGAAGATGAGGACCACGTGGGGGGGGGGGGGGTGAGAAGATGAGGACCACGTGGGGGGGGGGTGAGAGAAGATGAGGACCACGTGGGGGGGGGGGGTGAGAAGATGAGGACCACGTGGGTGGGGGGGTGAGAAGATGAGGACCACGTGGGTGGGGGGGTGAGAAGATGAGGACCACGTGGGGTGGGGGGGGGGTGAGAAGATGAGGACCACACATGGGTGGGGGGGGTGAGAAGATGAGGACCACGTGGGGGGGGGGTGTGAGAAGATGAGGACCCACGTGGGGGGGGGGTGAGAAGATGAGGACCACATGGGGGGGGGGGGGGTGAGAAGATGAGGACCACGTGGGTGGGGGGGGGTGAGAAGAGATGAGGACCACGTGGGTGGGGGGGGTGAGAAGATGAGGACCACGTGGGTGGGGGGGGGTGAGAAGATGAGGACCACGTGGGTGGGGGGGTGAGAAGATGAGGACCACGTGGGTGGGGGGGTGAGAAGATGAGGACCACATGGGGGGGGGGGGTGAGAAGATGAGGACCACATGGGGGGGGGAGAAGATGAGGACCAGATGGGGGGGGGTGAGAAGATGAGGACCACATGGGGGGGGGGTGAGAAGATGAGGACCACATGGGGGGGGTGAGAAGATGAGGACCACATGGGGGGGGGGGTGAGAAGATGAGGACCACATGGGGGGGGTGAGAAGATGAGGACCACATGGGGGGGGGTGAGAAGATGAGGACCACATGGGGGGGGGGGGGGGTGAGAAGATGAGGACCACATGGGGGGGGGGGGTGGACCACATGGGGGGGTGA